GAAACATTGGCCACCGCTTGGAGAATGTGAAAGACATGTACAAGCAGCCGAGATCTGAATGCAAAGCCATCTTCAGTGCGATTGGTATCGAAATTTCTGCAAGGTTGTCTGTCAATGTGCTGATTCTCGATTACCGGGGCTACGGCGATTCTGAGGCCAAGATGAGCATCTCAAAATCCCATCGGGGGTGGTCTCGGTTGTGTCAGTGTGAAAAGGATGGAAGCGGCCCATCGGAGCATGGCTTCTTGCAGGTGCGCGTTGGGCCACGTTGTATGGGGCAGCTGAAGTTTGCATTGCGGAGGATGCAGAGGCTGCATACCGGTGGCTCGTGCAGCGGGCTCGAAAGTCAGGCGGAGCTTGCTTTCTGTCATGGCACTTTGGAACGTGCGAGAAGGAGCCAACAAACACTGCAAGATGGTAGCTTGCACGGGTTCTCGGTATCGGCTGCTTGCAGTGAGTGCATGTCTCAGGTGCAGAGCACGATCAGACCCGTTCGATAGCGGGAGGGGGCGCTCGTTGTTCTGGGTTTAGAGACTATAAGCGGGGCGAGGTGTTGCTTGTAGTCCTTGATTTGGGCAGAATGCTGGGGCGGGGGTTGTAGTCCTGGAGTTGGACTACAAGGGAGGGGGCTTGTAGTCCTGACTACAAGAGGTGGGGCTGGCTGGCAGTCCTAGATTTGGACAGACTGTAAGGGGGCTCATTGTTGTTCAGGGGAGGGTGTGGTGCGTACCAACAGTACATTCGCGTGACTTCTCCTTCTTCTTTGAGTCTCGGCAAACAAGGAGGAGAAGTCACGCACCACCTTCCCATTTAAAGACTATGCCCCCCCACTTATAATCTGTCCTGTCTTCTGGAGCCGCTATTGCGTGGATGCGTAACCTTGAAGGCCCCAAGCTTGTAACCGACTTTAGCACTCTCCCCAAAGGAACATCTTTGAAACCACGGGGGCTGCACAACAACAGGAGCCTGCGAAACCAAGCTGGCTGATGTGCAGGCATCAATGGCGGCTCCTTGCAGATTCGCGTGGGCTTGAGTCGGGCTGTTTTGGAAGACTGACTCACTTCTGTAACCCTGGCGGCTGCCAGTGCTAAACTTTCCGAGGCGACGATCGAATTCTTTTCTTTGGCCGTTCCATCGGTGGCGCAGTGGCCGTGAAGCTTGCCGCCCATGTGCTGCTTGTTGGTGATTAGCAAGAGACGGACGAGTTTTTGGCTTCGCATGTCGAGACGAAGCCCATATGGCCCGCTACGATGTGACGGCTGTGAAATGCTTTTGCTTGTATCGACAGGTTGAAACAGAAGCACGACGAGGCCCTGCTGTCCTGCTGCCGTCGAGTCGATGTGCACAAACGTTGTTGCAGGCAATTTGAATCAGTGTCCCGCTGACCTCATGTGAACATGCAAAGAAGGTGAACAAGACCAGCAAGCAGGGGCCATGGGCTCTTGAAAGAAAAGCATTCGGACAAAGACCACAACGGAGGACAGTTGAACAGACGTAATCGGCCACAGAACAGGTGTTGGAACCGGGAGCGGCTTGAAGGGCTGATCGTTTCACAGCGCAGAAAAGTGCGCGTCCCAACCTCCAAGAGCAAGCAAGCGTTACATGTACCTACGGCGGATTAGACCCCATCCGCAACCAATCCTTTTCTTTTTGACGACGAAATCAGGTTTTCAGGCAGCGATGGAACGCGTCAACTTGTACTTGCCCGTGTGTCTTGCTCAGTGCCCGCATGTCAGGATGTCGACAGTTTCATTTACAGGACATGAACGCATACAGCAGACGTGCACCTTTAGTTAGCGACGCCATGTCGTCGTCCACATCAAGCTTGGGTCTCGCGGCCTCGACCAGAATTTCTTTTGTGCATAGTGAGATCTCGTGGATTGCACAACTTGGTGGAATGACATGTTCGAGCGATGCACTGCTGCAGTCGCGTTGCTCGCGATCCCAGAAACGTCGAACCCGCCCTCATTGCGCTAAGTGTGGCGGGGTGTTCGCAGTGCGGACTGGAATGACTGCCAACCGCTTTCATGCCAGAAGTCAGGGCCTGCATGGTCTGCACTTCGTGTTTGTGTGCTTATTGTACCGTCATCAGGGTATGCCAGAGCATCCATGCCCATCCGACCGATAACCAGAGCCGAAGCGTAGTAACGTGATGTGCCAGACCCATCCGATTACCAGAGCATCCCCGAGCCGTGCTAGTGCGCACCACGCCCGAACCGTGCTAACGTCACCTCAGCCGCGCCAAAATACCAGAGAACTAGCCCTGCTGACGCATATGCGAGAACCGCATGCTCGCACCGAAAGCGGCTTTCCAGCATCCAGTGAAATCAAGTCCTGGAGCGGGGCATTGTTTTCCACTCGCGCAACCGGACAGCTAGGCAAACTACAGTCTCCAACAGCTGACGCGGAAGCCAGAAAACAGAAGCGAGTCTTACACAGATAAATCATGGGTCCTCTAAGTTGGTACATCTGTTTTCCGACAGTTGCCACATGTTTTAAACACCATAAAATCATCAGATTTGGGGTAGCTTGTGGTCGAATCGTCGAAAAGCTCATTTGGCAGGTTTTGAAGCGGGCTTGAAGAAGCTCCAATTTTTCAGAGTCGTTGTTGTCAAAGTTGAAGGCAATCGTTAGAGGAGAAGAAGAAAGGAGAACACGGAAGATTGATGAGGTTCCTGCACCCCACCGGGAAAGACTTGGAGACACAGGTGTTGAACCACGCGCGCAAGATGTCCTGGAGTTGCTCCATGCCCAACTGAAAAACACAAGGAAGTGTCAGCAGCAGACCCACGTGACGAGGCTTCAATCCCAAAAGACGAGGCGCGTCCGAATTTTGGTACGAATGGATTGAAGTTGACTCATACTCCGGCGCCCGGTGGCTGGCCTCACATTCGACATGTGTCTTGTGTGCTTTAGGCTGGAGGCTTGCCGTTGCCAGCAGGAATAGTGTTGGAAAACACATTTACATCATTGTCGTGGCCCCGTGATGAGTCGCCACTGTTGTTCCTTTAGCTGTCCAGCGGAAGCGGCCTCAGGCGAGAAATGGCCTTGCAGATGTTTCCCTTCCTGTCGATACTCAGGCCCGCAGGGGTTGAACATGACTCGACAAAAAAGACTGCCCTTGTTTTGGTCGGTTACAGGCCATTGCTTCGAGCACCTTTGCTCTTTGACGAGTGGGCTTCCGCGGAAAGCTGCAGCCCCGAGAGTGCACTCGTGCCTACCTGGGGCAAAGTTAGTTTTGGGAGATCCTTGCTCGTCGGCAAGAGTGCTGGAGGATGTGTAAGTGCGGCACCGAGGCCTGCAATTTTTTGCGAGCAATCACAAGCTCTGGTGCTGCTGCTTGTTTAGTGGGCTGCAGGCCAGGGCGCTTTGTGTATTCAGATGTCAGAAGTCTGCTCGGCCAACGAGTAACTCCTCAATTCTTCCCTGCCAGGACCAAATCGTACCTCCAGCACAGATGAGGGAGCTCTACATGTTATTGCCTTTTGATTGCACATGTTTCGCAGCCTGTAGATGCCAGAGCAATGACTTGTTCTGTGCTGGGCTGGACGAAAGGTCTAAGCAGCGTCCAAGAGTGTTGAAGCCAAAGCCTCAGCTGAGTCTACAAGAACTGTCACAGAACTTCTGCGGAGCGGTCCGACTTTTTTGCGGCCACCGTGCATCAGAAGTGCCGCATGCCTCCATGGAACAGGTGAGCATACGATTAGCACCCCGCAGAGTGCTAGTATGTTTAAGACTTGCCATCGCCATCTTAGGCATCGTAGTGGCAAATTTTGAGAAACTACAGGTGCGGCAGTGCAACGCATGAAGTGATTCCGTCGGACTTTTCTGCGGATTCGCACTTAGGTGCTTCAATTTTCCCATGGGTGGCCACAATGACACACCTCAGATTGGTGGCGCGGACTATTGGGCGCCTGCTGCCTGGAGTCTGCGTGTGGTCCGTGGCGGGTTGTGTGCCCTCAGTGAGCCCGTTCAGGTCATTCAAGAAGTTCATGGGCCTGGTGAAAGAGAGTGAGTCCGAGCGGGAGACATGTCCAAAAGCACAGCTGCTATGTGCCGGGCGGATATGAGAGAGTGAGGAGGACCATCTCCTAGGCTTCAGCACGTGTTTCCTCGCTGACCATCTGCTAGTTGGATCTGGCAGATAGGGGCACGACGCATGTGTGGATAGCTTGGATATTGGCAGTTGACGGCAGATTTATTTGTGGAAGCTGTAGGCACGAGACAGCAAGAAAGGGAGGACATTGCTAGCTCATGCCACGATGTATGGTTGAGCGCGCGGCTTGCCTTTGCTTGCATCTTAGAGGGTGAAGATGGGTGAAGGCTACGTTGTGTCGGCATCGCCTTCAAGCATATACAGTGGTTGAGGCCGAGCCGTGGGATGGGGCAGCTGGACGTGGCCTTAGCATGCCTTAGCACCGCAGTGTACATTCAGGACGTCGGGATCATCTACTCATAGCAGCAGTCACGTGCAGACCGTGCGAATTCAGCAGTTGAGCAGAGACAGGATCTATAAATCTTTAGATATAAGTACTCCATGCCCGGCTGATCCCGGCTGCCCATTGCTCAATAAGGATGTAATTAGGGAATAAGGTTTTTTTGTTGAATGAGCACCTGACTTGTTCATACTTCCGGGTACGTGTGCTCTTTGGTTGAATGAGCACCTGCAGTGGCTGTGCATAGACGTTAATCGCGCATATTGATTTGGGAGATTGCACAGGAACTACCGTCAAGGAGGGGGTTTGGGTCAAGACGCGTTAGTATAATGGCAGTCGCAGGTGTCCAAATCCTCATATTTGAGATGTGCAAGAAGACAAGGCGAAGAGTGATAGTTACATAGATCGCCACGGAGGTGTACATGTGGGTCTACAAGTGTAGTCAGCATGCTCCACTGCTCGTGCATGAACGAATCCGTTTGCCGAAACATGAGATACTGCGCGTTCTTGCTGTCAGCTATCTTGTTAGTTGTGGCGAGTGTCTGAAGTTAGCCTGAACCAATGCTTAGGTGTTTTGAGTGCTTCGGAGATCGCTCCGAAGAATGCTACGAACACCTCCAACATTTAGGCTGCATCAGGCAAGCTTTCGAGTAATTGTGATTCGAAGCATGCACGTTTTTCGCCAAGATGATGGGGAAGCGATGTTGTAACGTTTTGTGTTAGAGATTGTTATCCGCCACAGCCGCCGCAAATACGCAAAGTACCAGCTAATGCCGAGGAGTCGAAGCTCTCGGAGCGCTGCTCGGAGGCCCGATGACAAGAGTTTTCAGTGTTTCGCAATCTCTGATCATCTTGCTGCATCTTGTGTCGAAGTGTTTCTGCAATCTGCGCAGTGCGCTCATGCATTCCTTCGCACTGACAGTGGTTTGGGAAACCTGTATGCTGCAGTGGCCACACCAGAAGTGCAGATGCTTGAGACATGTTCAGACAGGAAGGACCTTATCATAGGTCTGCCGCTCTCGCACCATTGCTTGTGCTCCTTCCGGAAGCTTCGTGTTCTCCCCTGCAGCTTTCACTCGTGAAGAAGTCGAGACTGGCAGGTGTGCTCTATCGCAGACGGGAAGGAGCGCATCGAAGCGCAGGCAGGTGGCACTTGCTGCGACGGCAGGGAACGTGCGGCACAAGATGTGTGCGCACGACCCGTGCAGGTGAACAGAGGTTTGGGCAATCTCACTCACTCACGCACTCACGCACTCACGCACTCACTCTCTCGAAGACAGACAGGTGACAGCCGTACTTCCCAGTCGACAGAAATTAGAAGTGAATCTCAATCTCTGCTTGTCGATCAGCATCCTTCGCTGCACGGTGACCACCGTTGGCCTTGAAAGTGATCGGACTCGGTATGGCAAGTGGGTGAGCTCATGCCATCATTTCTGGCTTTCTTCAACCCTTTGGGCCCCAGTTCTGATTTCTTTGCAAGTACGATCGTAAGCAACAAGTGGGTCTGTTCCTTGTGGCCACGCCACATGTCTTACAGACTCGACTTGGGATCACTACTCTCCTTGACCCATGCATCTGGCAAGTATCTGTCAGCCCCCCAAAAACCACTGGACGTTTACGGGGATGCACCCGATTGGGTGGATCACTCTTGCTCCTAGTTCACGATGGGCTCTCCGAGGGAGCAGCCAACCAGCAGTTCAATCTGCTTGGAACGGAAAGGGTTTGCAGTCTTGTGCTCTCCAGCTAGCTCTTCCCTTATCATTACTGGATAAATTCGTGATTGATTGGTGTTGTGCAGGGAGTTGATTCAGCTGTGGCTGGTATGAATTCAATCCAAACTTAGTTCGACCGTAGGTGGCACGAGCAAGTGCGTGAAAATCTATGCTTGAATGTGACTCTCGATCCATCACTGGAGAGCTTGTAGGTGATCCTTTCGCTGTGAGTCGATGGGATTCCGCCTCACACGTGATGTTGAAGCGAAAGCGGCGATTGCTGCTGAACACGTCTTCTGCCAGACATGCCCAGTTTCCAGACGGGCTCTTCACCCCTGGGCCTGGGAAGAGCCGGGTAAGCGGATGCAAACCTCTCGGGCGACTGCTAGCACAAGCTCCACAGTCGAACCAAACCCAGCAGCATCTCATCGATCCGCTCGCATATCAAAATCGCCGAAGCTGCAACCGGAAGCAGTCTGATATCGCTGTGAATGTTGTACGCTGCATCGGGAGTACGCTCGCTTGGGGCCTGGTTCCAATCATTCCATATGGTATCACCCTTTCATTCCATCCATCGTGTGAGGCTCCGACGTATGCCCGTCATTTTACCAATCCTCGTAGCCTTCTTCCCGCACATTTCGAATTTCTTGCTGCGATGCTGAGACCTTTTTGTTTGGGTATATCTCTATGCCAGTGACTCGGGCTTCCGGATGTGAAGCAAAGTTTTCCATTCTTCCCTCCTTCCCATTTACCCGAAAACGAATCTCCGTCCCTAATGCACTCCTTTCCTCATGACTCCTCTCATCGGCATATTGGTGCTAGGGCCCCAGCCCTCAACCACTCCGCTCCATTGTGCTCATCATTGTCGAGCCAAGTGCTTGCTCCTAGTGTAGCTAGAAGCAATTGCCAGTGCTCCGGGAAATGTCGTAAGGTTCTTGCTGTTCAGTCGGAATTGCTGTTGCACTTGGCCGGTGGCCGTCTGCATCAACAATGCAATCAGCAAGCTGTCGTCAATCCTTCTGGTCCTGCCTCCCACTTTGTCCGTGAAGGCTTATCTAGCTTCGAGTGCTAAATGGGGGTTCATGTCACAGTACGCACGTTTGCTGGGGAACGTTGTTACGGCCGAAACGGTACGAGGCGATGGTGCACAAGGTACGGTGTCGCACATCTGTACCGTGGAAAAGTCCCATATGTACCCTCGAACCACCCCGTCTGCCCCCTGCAGTTTACATGGACTATCGAACCGTACCATATGTTTCGCCTAAACTTGGGGCTAAACGTCCGTGTGTGCCACGGAATCCCTCCATATGGACCATCGAAGCGTCCCTTCACGTGTTGCGGGGCTTCCCGCGTCTAAGCGTACTAAAATGTATGTGGTCCAGTGGAAACAATTTGAGTTCACCTCCATTCGACTTCGTACCGAAATCCAGGTGGATTGAGCAGGGCTCAATCAAAGGCTCTTGCCGCATAGTGCCCCACTACATAGCATATAGACAGGTAGATAGTCGTCAATATCCAGGGAATCCAAACGATCTCAACCAATCACTGGGCGAAAAATTGTGCACTGCACATTGGGCACAGTCCAGGATTTCAGCCGAAGTGCAGTCAGGGGTGACATATCTTTACAGCGGGAACAGTGTCATCTACTGCACACGCACACACATATATACACACATACACATAGGCGCACAGCCACTCACTGACTCCCTCCCTCCCTCCCTCCCTCCCTCCCTCCCTCCTCTCTCTCTCTCTCTCTCGCTAGTGATGGTGCTTCAGCATAGCCCGAAAAGGACCAAGTAGATCGAAGCAGACTTCGGAGGACTGTGCAATATATCATCAACATTTTCTTCACAGAAGCTCCCACGTCTCCGTGTTGTGCCTTGGGCTGCGGCCCTGCGGTGTGTTACCTCCTTTGGCCCCAACGGTGCCATCCGAGCTCTAACCCGATGTGGAGAAGCCTGCTCATAAAGAAGAACGGCGAAGACCAGCAAGCGCGTCCAATGCATGAAGGCATCCTCCACACCACGACTGCTGCAGACTCAGTTTCCCGGCGGGTTCCTGCAACAGTTGTTCCAGATCCTGATCACGTGGATTCGCCGCTGGATGATTTATAGCCCGACCGTGCGGCTGAAGTTACCATGCATGCGCAAACACAAACCGCCAGGGCCATGCAGGAGGCACAAAAATTTGCAATGCGGATCACAGCAGGATCCAGATGAGCAAAATCTGATGGGGAAGGATATCTGCCAAGTGAGTGTAGAGTGTCATGCAACCGACGCCTGAAAGTCAGGATGTGCGCTTTGCATGCAGTCGGCTGTCTTGGCTTGGCCAGGAACTGGATACCACGACGGAGCACCTGCACCGTAGATGCCCCTCGAGCCCCAGCACTACCATCACCGGAAAGAGCTCGTGCGTCCCACCACCGCGAATCCCCAGCAACTGTTCAGTCTCTAAATGTAGGCGCTGCGACCACTATCGTTTGCCGACCTGGCAGCCACTTCAGCACTCACAACTGTGTCTTGTATTTCCGAGGCAAGAGAGGACATACATTACTACGAGGGGCGACGAGACCACTGCTTTGCCCATATCGATGCGATCGACAGAGCCTGAGGTTGAAATCCTTCAAGCTGGGCTTCACGGGAAGAGTTGCAAACTGCAGGCAGGCACCGACCGCAAGGTTCACTCCACGCTTTGACGTCGCCATCAACGGCGCGTCGGTCTTCCTGCAATGTGTTGTGACGGCATGCTGTGATAGTGCTGTGATGCGAGCCCTCATGCACTGGGGAGAATGTCGTTCTTGTTCTCTCTCTGTCTGTCTGTCTCTGTCTCTCTCTCTCTCTCTCTCTCTCTCTCTGTCTTTCGCTTTCTTTCTCGTCCCCCCTCCTGCTTCCCTCCCCCTCACTCTTCACGCCCCTCTCCCTCTTGCTCCCCTCCGTCACTGCGCCCATGTATGTATGTACGTATACATGCATGCCAGTGCAGTCAGCAGGTAAGTAGGTACGTGGGCATGTGGTATGTACGAGGTATGCATGTACCGAAGTATGCAAGGATGTGTTTATGTTTGCATGCATGCATGCATGCATGCATGCATTCAGATACATACGCCAACATGACGAAGAAAAGGGGAGTTTGTGTACGGTAGTCTGCGAAGCCACAACTACAGCAGACACGGGGGCAGGTGAAATTGTTGCATGTGTCGGAGCCTGCAGCACTTTGCCAGGAACGGCACTAGCACGAAGTGATCTGATGACCTCGCACAAGGCAGCCCGTCGCGACAGAAACTTGTCGAGAGGCGCGCCAACGAAAGCCCAGAAGAAAGGGCATGCGCTGATTGGCCAGTGATGGCAAGCGGGCATTTATCACCATGTCACTTGCAAGCAGAAGCGATAGCGTTCGGGGCCGAGAGGCAGCAAGCAGTGCTCTCATAGCTCATGGCCGGATTTCGGCGACTGGGTTAGACACCTTCATACCAGCTCGTTATGTGGCAAGGGGTTCAATCTCCACCGCAAGGCAGGCTGGAATGCTGTCGATCGAAGCGGCAGCGGCTGGACGTGTCAGTTCCCAACATGCCGATGTAAGCGAGGAGGCAAGGTTGTCAAAAAGGCTTTCCAGTTTGGGTAAGCAAAGCCGATGGGCGGGAGCTCTGTTGGAATTGATGGGCGTGCGGCTCACACAACTGACTCAAATCAGCTCGCACAACGCTTTGGCAGCTGCGTGTGGCAAAAGTCAAGCCTGGGAAACGGCGCTGGGCTTAATAGGAGATGCTCGACACCAGTCGCTTCGACTGAATGCCATCACGTTTGGAGCGGGCGCTCTAGCTTGTCAAGTGACAGCTTCTTGGCGACGTGGCACTCAGCTTTTGAGCACTGCGCGGAAGATGAGCACCCAGGTGAATGTCGTCTGTTGTACAGCATTGCTGCACGCATGTGGGCGAGCGAGCGGCGAAGGTAAATGGGCATTCGCGGTTCTGGATTTAATGAGAACTGAGGCAATGCAACTGACGGAGGTCAGTTTCGGTGCTGCAATGAGTGCTTGTGCACCTGAGGGGCAGTGGCAAGATGCTCTAGTGTTGTTCAAAGACGCACAGAAGATGGGACCCAACCTGCACTGTTGCAATGCCTTTTTGACGAGCTTGGAGAAAGGGCGCAGAGCCGAGCAGGCAATGGAGCTGCTTAAAAGGATGGAGCGAGCAGGCGGGGACTCAAATGGGCCCTGGCCTAGACCTGATGTTGTCAGCTACAGTGCAGTCATCAGTGCCTGTGAAAAAAGCGGGTTGTGGAAGGACGCGTGGGATCTGCTGTGGCGCATGCAGGCGAGGCATGTGCAGCCGAATGCTATAAGCTTTAGTGCGGTGATCTCTTCCTTTGAGAAAGGTGGTCAAGGTCAGCTTGCGTTGCAAGTCCTGAGGATGATGCGGGTATGCTCGGAAAGACCTAACGTGATAAGCTATGGCGCGGCGATCAGTGCCTTCGAGAAGGCAGCTATGTGGAAGCAGGCCCAGGTGCTTCTGGAGGAAATGGTAGGCGTGCAACTGGAGCCCAATCTGGTCTGCTTCAACGCGATGTTAAGCTCGCTCATGGAAGCTGGTAAGGCTCAAATGGCCAGGAGGTTGCTGAGCTCCATGAGAGAAAACTCAAGCCAACCTGACATCATCAGCTATTCAATCACAATTACATCGTGCTCCAGGAAGCAGCAGTGGCTCGAATCAGTAGAGATTCTTGGTGGAATGGCTGAACAAGAGTTGGATCCCACATGCATTGCATATGAAGCCGCACTTGCAGCGTGCGAGGCGCATGGGAAGCTGGAATTTCTCTGTTTGTTGGATCCGATGTCAGAGCAAGCAGTCCAGTCGTGCAGGTTGTTGGGCGATCGTGAAAGCCATCATGCCAGGTAATGCAACGCCTGCATGAGCATATGCGCCACTGCGGAGCACTTGATCAGTCCCCTAGCTCTGCACCTCGGTGCTTGTTCGATGTTGTGGTGCGAAGATGGGCCGAGTATGAACCTGGATGGCCAGCGACCAGCCGGCCAGTGACTAGACTGTGTCCAAGGTCCAGCCTTTGCACATTCGCTGGCATCACCTGGCTCGTGGATTCTCGGGAATCGCTGAAGCGATATCTGGCAGAATTGGAGTTCTGGATTTTCAGATGGCTCTTGATGGTCCGCTCAGCAGTGGGACAGCAGCCCTTGAGTGCTGGACCGGCAGCTCACCTGCAAGTTACTTTCTCGGCACATGTGGTGCTTCTGTTGTGGATCGCCGTTTGTTGCAGAAAGACCGCAGAATGCTCGTGCATCAGATTTTGTGCGATCGTGGCGATATGTCTGACGCCAGGGAAGTCCTTCACGAGTTTGCACTGATCACTAATTCTGACGCAGCAGTTAGCTGTTCAGTCTCGTGCCCGGGGGAATCTGTTGCAGATCTCTGAGCACGGGGGGAGATAGAGTTTCGAGTGTTGTGGGCTCAACTTCGGCTGTGACTCAGAACCAGCAGCTTCAGTAGATTCGCATGTGCTGCTGAAAGCACAAGCCGCTTGAGCTGCCACAGGTGTACGCTCATGGCTGGTAAAGATGTCGGAGCCTGAAGCCGTGAACGCACCGAGTATTACTTTGCCAATGTTTGGCTGGCAGGCTTCCAGCGACTTGCGCGCTCTGCAAAACTCTTTTCAGAACATGAAAGTGGAAGGCCGGTCAGACGATTCTTACGCCTGTTCCTCCCACAACTTGGCATGCAGGCAAGGGCGATGATGCTTCCAAAAAGGCACGCGGCTCGCAAGAATCACTTCGCCCAGCTGTGTTTGGATCTCACGTGAGGCCTCGTTTACGTACAACGCAGAGCGCGTGCTTGGCAGTGGTTCGTTCGGAGTCGTGTACCAAGCCCAGGTGGGTTGCCCAGGTGCTCAGACAGCACCAGCATCACATCAGCGGAAATGTCGCCTCAGGTGGTTGAAACAGGTGAGTCTGTCGCCATCAAGAAGGTTTTCCAGGTGTTGTCATTCTGCCCTCGTACAAGTGGTGCTGGTGTGCCTCGCTTGTGAGGACAAGCGATACAAGAACCGAGAGCTACAGATCATGAAGGACATGGTATACCCGGATGAAAAGTCGGGTTCGATCCACCATTTTTGCATGTTTTGCTTCCAAGATGAGTAAGAAACTTGATTTTGTCGGTTCCTCCGAGCAAAAGGTATTCGTCAATACAGCTTGTACAGCCATGTCCTGCCATGTCCAAAGAAATCCTGCATGGAAGTGATTGGCACTCGCAGGCATAGGATTTGTGAAGAAGCCGACTCTTAATGGCAGAGCCAAGATGTGTTCCGGATCAAGCTTGCAGACAGATGGCCAAATCCGTTGGGAGTTGGCAGCATGTCGCAGGAGTTGAAGCACCCGAATGTAGTAGAGTCTTGCCCCCGGATATGCTGCAGGGGTTGCATCTGTCCATGGCATGAACTTGATTCAGCGGTGTTCTCATGCTTTTTCCCTGCTTACTATGTGCCCAGGCTGAAGCACGCCTTCTACACGTCTGGCGAAAAGCCTGGCGAGACATACCTTAATGTTCGCAGCTGAGAGCTGTTTCCGAAATCGGAGCATGCATCGTCGACTTGCAATCCTGCTGCTGTAACGTGATGAACTTGAAGCTCAATATTGTGCACAGATTGTGCAGCGTCGGACTACGAGCACCTAGACATGTTTCCAGCACGGTGCACCACCTGGTAACCTGCACCGTTGTCTTGCTCGTCTTTCTCGAAAACCGGTGTGGCGAATGATCTGTGTAGCTTAATCAACAAGCTTCCCGGACAAGACCTCATGCTGGTGCTGGTCGGGGTACTATAAGATGCTATATATGACCATGCGTGACGTGTGGAAACGAGTGCTACGAAAACGAGGCTCACAGTCAACTCTACAGTGTGCCACAAACCTGGGCTTTCAGCACGACACCTACAATAGGCATAGCAGAAAGTTCCCACCCAAATCATATGGCTGCTCGCGCTGTTTGTCAAAAGTACTATGCTGCCACTTTCGTCAAGCATCCTCAAACCACTATGCGACTCAGAAAGCTGCTTGAAGCCGCTTGTGCATACGATGCGTTTACATCTTCGCTCACCATTCCCTGGACTGTTCATCGTTGATACCGGCAGCAGTGGTGATCGAGTCTGGATGGTACTCTGAGCATAGTGAGCTGATTAAGCGCCTCGGTGGTCGAAGCCTGTCTAGAAAGTTCCTGCATATCCGTAGATTGATTGCTTAACTGAGTTGTCGTCCGCTAGCCCGAGTGCAATGCTTTCTTCTTGCGAGTCTTTCCGTCCTGCAGCCCGACGGGTTTATAGGGAGGTCAGCCTGGGCCTCTTTGAGTAGTCATTTGCCGAGGTTGTGATGGAGTACTGCTCTGCGCCGCGCTTATTCTGCCCAGTGTTGCCGATTTGTCGTGGCCACGCGGCGGCTGCCAGTTTCCAGCACTTCGGACCACGAGGACACGGTGTATCGTGTCATGAAGCATTACAGCAAGATGAAGCAGCCGGTCCCGCACATCTTCGTCCAGCTGTACAGCTACCAGGCACGAAGAACGCGGAGACGCAGTAGCGGAAGAGCGACGAAGAGAGCCTTTGGCATGTTGTTTTGTCAGATGGGCCGGGCCTGCGCCTACATCCACGCTGTTGGGCGGGGAGCCCATTTTCTCTGTCCATCTCTTGCTTTGCTGCTTGAGAGTCGATCCGTGGCAGAGTTCGCGGTTCTTAACGCTGCCTGTCCATGTTGGCGCAGCCCAGTAGCTGCTAGTGCTGTTAGTGTTCATGACCAGGATTTGCCACCGAGACATCAAGCCCCAGAACTTGCTTGTCGATGGGCATACGCATGCCCTAAAGCAGCACCGGCAGTTTTGTGCCGAATGAAGGCGGGGTGTTTGTTCCAGTTGAATGCACTATGACAGGTTGTGCGATTTCGGATCTGCGAAGCCGCTGGTCAGAGGGGAGCCTAATGTGGCTTACATATGCCAGGCACTTGAGCACCCACGCGTTGCGGCAATTGCTAGGTCACATCTGGGCTACGACCAGTGCTCCAGACCACCTTCTGTCGATGAATGTTTTGCCTTAATTAAGGCTCCAGATACTACCGGGCTCCAGAGCTCATTTTCGGGGCCACTGACTACGGCTTTGCACCACCCTGAGTCATTGCATCACTAATGAGAAAGAGATCGAAGATTAGATGTCGGGCAATCAAATGGTGATGTGGCAGCGCAGGTGATCGACATTTGGTCAGCCGCATGTGTTTCGGCAGAGCTCATTCTCGGGCATCCCATGTTTCCTGGCGAGAGCGGTGTTGATCAGCTGGCCGCTGCCTGAACTTTATACTTCATGCGTTGTCTCAGCATGGTACAATCGCACGCTCTCGCTTGCACGTCTGTCCCGTCAGGTCGAGATCATCAAAGTTCTGGGCACGCCAACTAGGGAGGAGCTCATGGCTATGAATCCGAACTACACAGAGTCAGCGCCTTCAACAAATTTTTCCGTGGCTACTGCAGTCGGACTTGCATCTTCCTGGAGTCCACGACTCTGCCAAGGTTTAAGTTCCCACAGATCAAGCCACACCCTTGGCACAAAGTCTTCAGATCGCGCACCTCTCAGGAGGCTCCACACTTCTAGGGATCTGCGATGGTGCGCACTGTGTTGAATGAGTGGCCTGCAACCTGACATCCTCACAGGCCGTGGACTACATTTCGAAATTACTTGTGTACGACCCAAAGCTGCGACCTACCGGACTGCAGTGTTGCATGCATGCGGTGCCCTTAGCACCTCTTCCCTTCAGCCACCATAGTCGCCTGCGCGTGCAAGCGAGGCTCTATTCGATGACCTGAGAGACCCCAACACGTGCTCCACTCTTGATTCGCTAGCTGGATGCACGGGGCTTTGGGTGTCACATGATCCATGGCCAGGCGCATCAGCAGCTCAAAGCCCCTTCCGGACAGTTGCTTGTTTTAGTAAGGCTCAGGCACTGTCCAGGCATGTTAGGCACGCTCAGCGGGCTTTGCTCCGTTGATGCCAGGAGCACTTGTTCGTTTTCTCCAAGGAGGAATTGGCAGGAGCCTCAGGTTGGGTTGAGGTATCGTGGTGGGCTGAAGTGGTCGACTCGACTCCATTTTGTCATCTTCCTCACACGCGCCACGTCACATGCCTCAAGATGAGAATCAGGCTGCGATGGATGCTGACATGCAAAGGAAGCTTATTCCTGCTTGGGTCGCCCTGAAGGCCCAGTCTTGTTCTCATTTCTCGTCTTATTCTCATGACAGAACTTTGCTTAGCGAAGTTGCTACAGGCCGACAAAGGGAAGACACCGTGAAACGGCTCCTAAAAAGACGTTTGCAGCAATGAGCACGGTCTGAATCTGAAGGGCCATCCAACATTGCTCTGCAACTGTTGGCGGTCTTGGACATGAACTGTTTCAAAGTCGTCTCTGTGCTTGCCTGAAAGTTCACTGGTTGTAGGTCTTAGATATTCGGGCGAGCTCCAACAAGCCCGTGGGAAAAGGTTTCATTGGATTGATACGACAAGTGCAGAGTCGGCAGTGATTGGGCTGCGACGCCCAGCCCACTTGACAAAGAAAGGTCTAAGATAAGGACTGGCGTCATTTCCATTCCCGTCCTCGCAGGCCGTGCGCTGCCTTGAAGTGCATGTCCCTTGTGTACGCCCATGTTCAGCTGCAAAATGAAGTGAGGGAAGTGCCTCAGTGCTGCTTGGAATGCTGTGCAGGTTGCTGCCAGATTCAAGAATCACAGTGCCCACTGTCCCGCAAAATTTGAACCAACATGGAAGTACAGATGCGGCTGAAGTGCCCCACCGACATGCAGCCGACGTGACTGAGAAGGCAGTTGGGGCATGTAGAGATGCGCTCGTAGGGCGCACACAATATGGCATACAACGGAAGCAATGCATCAGCTGAGGGGTTTGCGAAGCCCACACCAAGTAACTCTGAGAAGTGAGCCAGGCTCTGGCCTCAAGTGGCCTACGCAATTGTAGCGTTTTAGAGATCCGTGCCGCAGACCAGCACCCAGGGACCCGGATGGTAAAGCAAGCATTTTAGAGAACGTCTCCATAGAAGTAAAAACAACGCTTGCAGCCTCGCAGCCGGCGTCTCTTGGCTGCCTGGCGACCTCATGCATTTTTGGCATCCAGGGCATAAAGCTGTAGCACGTCCTCAGGTCATGGATGCTGCGCCGCCCGGACCCTTCGCAAGTTGCGAGTGACGCTAAATTCCGGCATCAGACCCAGCATTCAACTAAGGCCAATGCCTCCGCCCGGAGCACTTCGTCTGCAGGGCTTGTCGCATTCGGCAGAGGATCACATTATGCGACTCTGCAGGGCTCTGCATCAGAATCTTTTCAGGTACCAGGCCTGCCGCCGCCGCCTGGAGGCAAGACCGCTTGCGACCTTGCTGGAAGCTTGCAGAATCTTTTCGGAACGGGGTGAATAACGGAATTGGGGAGTAGCAGAGTAACCCACCCGCCCTCCCTTGAGTTAGTTCCAGAACAATTAGTTTATGGTAGAAATATGAACCAACATCAGGAAGCACCGCAGATCACGCATCTGTTCTGCATGGCATAGGCGTAGTTTAATGTATTGTGTTCTTCCGCTGCCGTACTGGATTTGCGGAGAGCTCCAGGAAAGTGTGAAGCTAAGTCTGATGTCGGACTTAGATGTGCTCCAGGTTTCTACAATGTCTGGCTTCCTACTCCTGATCCACAGATTTTTCGTATATGCAAAACCAGACCGTATCTCTTCCGAGTTTTTATGAAAAGGTCATGTTCACTTATGCAGGGCACTGTTCAATTTGAGTGCCCCGGTCAGGACTTCCAGGTGGCTTGCCAGGAGGGTTGCCTGGAGGACTTCCACTAATGATGATGCCAGGCAGGGCATGCGTTTGCCACGGCGGCGTACAGTAGAAGCCAGAAAGTTGGAACATGGGTTTAGGAGGATTAGCGCTAGGATCTCTTATACTTTACCTTAGGGCCCTGAGGATACTAATGTTCCAACTTTCTGGCTTCTACCATTTTTGTTGCAGGCAGCTGTGCTGGCTGCCCCTCGATGCCTGGCTTCTTACCGGTACCGTGGCTGACCGCTGTGGGGATTTTTCTCTCTCAGTATAGAATGCTCTGGACTGTATCGTCCCACGCCCCGGGCTGCTCCATGGTATACACTTTGGCCCCCGCTCTTGTCTTTTGACTCGTAAGAGAGCTACTTCGCAATTGAAATATGGCAAGAGTAGCGGGTATGCGGTCGTGCTTTGCATGATGTTGTATGTCTTTAACCCCACCATCCGAACCACCGGCGGCAAGGAGGCGACGAGTGTCAATGCAATGATTCGCGTGTCCACCAAACCGAAGGGCTGATGCTACTGACAAATTGGTGCAAGCATACTTCTGTAGGTCTGTTCTCGGCTCAGCAGCTAATCCAGTGCAGCTGCGGCGTGGAGTCACAGCTTCTGAGCTCTTGCTTGGTGGATGCTGGAGCGTACACAGAACTCGGCCTTAAGCTTGGAGAAAGAGCCAGTGTTCTTTCCTACCTAACCAACCGTGAACACCAGAGGCAACACTCCGCAGGGGTGCAAAGCAAAGCGATGAAGCCGCGAGACCAGGAACCCAAGCAGGGCCGCAGGTACCAGGCCACCAGGGAGGAGGGGGTAGGATACCATGCGGGGTGGAGGGGGTCTCAGGCCTCGGAAGGTTGGGGGGAGCAAAAGTCAGGCAAAGGCAGAAGGCTATTAGGTTTCAACCTGAACATGATGCCACATTTGAGCCGTCAAATGAATTGAAAACGAAGATATTCGGCAACCTGCCGGGGCCAGCAACTTCTGGAAGTGAAACGATTACGGCTGGAAATTCTGGAAATGAGTATGCACTTCACCTCGAGCTCTGATTGCCCACCTGCATTCTGCCGTTGGCAGGGATTCAACGCCCAGACCCGGGAAAGACGCACAGGTGGATAGAGCCTCCTCTACGGGAGATTCAAGTGGCAGGTGAGGTCCAAGCGGTGCGGTGCCTTGTTTGTGAGATCTGTGATATCTGATTCCATGCGGACGCGCATCATTGCTTACATCTGACATTGGTGAGGGGATGGGAGGGTTGGAACGACCAGAGCTTCCGGTCAGAGTGATGCCTGGCTTGCCCGCCCGGGTGAGAAGTGCTTGAAGTCCATGCTCTGATGCCGCGGGCTCTTACGAGTCAGTTTTCAGAATTCTTCACGGGTGTCATGATGCTGCTACTGTCCCGTTTTCCGGCGTATGTCGGAGCGCACCGAATCTCCCCTCTTTGCAAAAAGACGCTGTTTGTGCGAGCTTGCCTATGCACGTCCGCACCTTCAGATGTAACCACGAACGAGTTCTATTAAAACCCGGAGTCGCTTATTCAGCAAGGCACAGCAAGGGTCGTCGGTTGTCAATCGTGTAGCAGTGTAGTTGGCTCCCATTCCTTCTCTTCCCCCTTCTCGTTCGGACTGGAGGAGTCAAGGGAGCCGCCACCCTCATAGAGGGTGCCCTCACCACCTCTCTTGGTTGCTCTTCCTTTCTCAAAGCTTGGAGGGTACACCGTCTCAGGAGGTTCCCCTCGAAGCACGGGCGCCGCAAGTTGTTTGTTTGGTACTGCAACTTTTGCGGGTGGGAGGTGGCAGCATTTTTGAGACAGAAGAGCAAGTGCAACGACACACCGTCGAGACCCGGCCCGCGAAAGCAAAAGGCGTATTGTGATGAATGAAAACCAATCGAGGTGCCCGGCGCGCCGGGTGGCCCTTGCGCACCCGGTGCAGGTGCTCCAGGCGCGCCAGGCGCGCCTGGAGTCTTTCCCGGCCTCATGATGCCACCGGGCTCTGCTCCGGGATCGCTGCCGCCGGGCTTCGTCTTGCTCAATGTCAGGCGCGATTGCACCGCTGCAAAAGTTCTGAAAAGATGTTACGATCTTTCCAGGCCACCAGCACCCGGCCGGACTGGCCAGAATCCGAGAACTGAGCTCAAGCTCCGTTTGTCCAGCAAATTGCTTGGTTTTGGAGGTGAGGCAGAAAAGAAAAGAAAAATCGAGCCACGTCGGAAGGACGTGAGATACCCAGGGTGTTCGAAGTAAAGCCTTGCAAGCTCTGCATTCGGCATTCGGCTCAACCGCGGGCAGTTGGGTGGGTGTTTCCTGTTGTGCCAGGTGTGGCCTGTCTTTGTGGGCAACATCTCCTTCGCACGAGCCTCAGTGCGAAGGAGCCCAAGCTCGCCTTCGCAAAGTCTGTCAGGACACGACCGAGGAAGAAATTCGCGAACTCTTCGGTGCACGCCTCTGCACTTGAAGTCGTGATTGAAAAGATGCACTTCTTCGCTGCAGAGGTGATATCGAGGGCTTGGTGTCGTGGAGGCTGTCCATACAAAAAGATGGCTTGGACCTGAGCATGTTGTGGGCGAGTTTCAGCCGGCCAATGCATGCCATGGTTGCGAGCGAACCCATCCGAAACTTAGAGGAGAAAAAAGGAAGAGCTGTGAATGCATCTACCGGTAGGAAACTGCTCTCGGTCAAGGTCTCGCCTTGAAATCTGCAGCCTAGCTGCGCACAGGGAGTCGACAAGACCCTCAAGTGGTTAGAAAACGTCTCGCTGGTAGCTATTTCCAAAACTTCAGCTTATCTGAGGGAATCAATGTCTGCTTCGGAATCGACTCGAAGCGCCCCGCAGTCAGCAGGACAATGCACGCAATGAAGCTAGGCCGTGAATACCAGGCTTGGCGAAACTGAGGGTACTTGTCGGGGCGCTTTTGTTGTTATTCGGGGACTATGACTATGAATGAGAGGATGTTGAGCGACGCGCATTCGCAGCGGAAGCGGTTGCGATTCTCTGAAGGTGTGTCTCGAGGGTTCGGCTTCGCGGAGTTCAAGACTCCCGAGGGTGCGCTGGAGGTTGGACCCTGGATGCTGTTGACGTCTTGTTCCGTGCTGACTTCGTGGTCGGCCTCCTGGTCGTAGCTCGCAGTGTTCACAGGGCATCAAGAAAGTCGACGGCATCGAAATCAAAGGTGGGGATCTCAGTGGACCCTTCGCATCTCGTAACCGCTCTGGTTGACCGATAGGGCTACCGCTAGCAAATACCCAGGGCGAAAGCTGCGTCTACGATGGGGAGAGAATGCTCCAACTACTCCGGAGGCACACTTCTGCCGTCGAATGCTGCCACATGTTTTGAAAAAGCAGCACGCGTTGCCGGGAGTTCGTTGCCTTTCTTTGCGGTGTATTCTGAGGAGGCCTGAGCGCGCACAAGTGTCTTCATATCCTTCATGCATCTTCATGCCCTGCAGAGAATCAGGGGGGGCGTGTCTGCGTCGAATAGGCTTCCATCCTCTGGTGTCGCTTCTTGGCTTTCTCGGGATACTCCGCTTCCAGCGGCTGAAGCAGGCGAATCCACCCTCTCCCTCTGTTGGCTTTGCCCAACCTGTCATAACCTGTCCAGATGCATACTGTATAATCGACTGCAGAAACTTTTCTGGGGACGTCATGTCATCTCCTCCACCCCGGCAGCATGTTTTGGGTTTGCGGGCTTGTGTTTGCCCGGAGACTTGGTCAAATCGTCAAACAACAAGAACTCGAAAGGCAAAGAACAATCCCGCGTGCGCTCGCTAGCGCGCGGTGCAGTTCGCAAAAAGTACATGCTCCTGTGCAAGTACAGTATCCATGTCCGTCGTGTAGCCATGGAACATGAGTTTTTCCAACTGCCTAGGTGGATGAGTTCCATCGGGCACCCGAGAGGTACAAGACACGACCCTGCTATGAGGCACGTCGGATGCGCTTGCATTCAGCACGGTGTGTCTTCGATGTGTGATTTGCATGTGGGTTTTGCCGAACAAGCATTGGCTTCTGTGAGGTATTCAAGGGCCTACCTTGTCCTCGACCCGACAACTGTCCCTACGCGCCGACCCGCTGCATTTGAGCAGCGGCCAGCCAGAGGCTCGCTTTGCAAATGCAGCTTTTGCCGAGGCATGCGCAATCAGAGATCCGACATCCGCGAGACAACGAAGAGAAGTCGGATCTCTTGGGCCTCACCACGTCACATTTTGTCAGCCTTTGGTATCTGCAGCCGTCCATGGCATGAGCGCAACCAAGGCCGGAGGAAAAACCCATCGATCCCAGGGACGTGGTCGTAAAGGCTCAGCAAGCTCTACAGTTTCTGTGGTATGGCAACGTTACTCCTGATGCACACTGCTGATTCAGAAGCGCCCCTCCTACCAAACATCGTTATCATTGAACTCCAAACATGTTTGTGCAATTTCTCGCGGGGTGCTAACATTTCCCCGAACTGCAGCGATTCTTGCTAAGTCTTGTTAGTAATATTTATTATAAAAGAGACAGCGGCAGCGATGGAGTCAGTTTCCGTCCACCTGCTGCCTCCGTCTCCGAACCATACCAGGATGTTCAATTTCAATTCGTCTCGAAAAGCCCTGGCTTCTGGGATCTTCTGGGCATAGCAGCCATTTTCACCGACAAGCGACGTGCATTGCGGCACTGGTAGTTCCACTCGTGCGGACTCCATCAGGTCATTGCAAAAGCTTACAGCTTACAGGTTGCCATCCCCTTCATGAAGTTTGAGGGTGATGGACCTGAAGCGAAGCAGCGAGCTGCCGTGACCCCGGAGGAAGCAAGTTGCTGTAGAGCCCCCGGCCCCAACTGTGATCTGAGTCCTGAGCCCACTGTGTAGATCAAAAAAGGCGTATACGACGATCCTCGGCCCCGGAGCGCTTGGCCCTCGACGACTCGAACGCGTCTTTTTTCGCAGCGCCGACAGCAACATGTGCCGAGCGGACATCCGTGAGCGCATCTTTTCGGTACGATCACTGATTGCTTTCTCACATCCGTCGCTGACAGGTCAAACGTTCGAACCATCATGAAGAAGGCAGGGAGAGAGAGAAAGACAGAGAGGGAGAGAGAGCTTCATTGCAATTATTTAGCTTTAGCGAATGCGGGGGATTATGCTCGTTCCCTCACCTCCCAAAGCTCGCATAGCACTCATGCGGCGCATGCGGGTGGGCTTGAAGCCCGGGGGTCCTGACCGACCCCTATGCCCGGGAGAGAGAGAGAGAGAGTGAAGTGAAGAGGGAGAGAGAGAGCGCAGTGGAGAGTGGCTTGCGAACTAAAACGCATTTGGTCGGGCTTTGCTCGGAACGGAGGGTGGATTCGGGCTTCAGGCATACTACGTTGTCCAACGGAGATGAACGGGTGGAGAAAGATGAAGTTCAAGCCAGAAAAGACATGGTTATTCCCGAAACTCAAACTGCGGAGCAAACAGTCCCGACACGTCCCGCCGGCATAGCTCTGCGTTTTGGACTAGGCCGGCTGTCGGCTGCAGCTCCGAGGTGCCGGTGCCCCGGGAGGCCCTCGCGGGGATGGGGGGTTCATTCGGTTAAGGCTGTTCATGTTTCAATATGTTTCATTTGTTTTGCAATCCATCGAAACGCCCAGGTGCTGCAGAGGAGACACGGAAGTTCTGCTCGGGCATGAGGTATCTCGTCAGTCCATCGAGCCTACCTACACGTTATGTGCAGGAGCCTCTGCACATTATCGTGAAACCACGGGGAGAGGAGGCGTGCAACCCGAAGCAGGGCTGCCAGATGGTTTACGCTTCACCAAAGCCTCTACAGACAGGTTGTCACGCAGGAGCAGATTGAGATTGTCAGAAGGCATGGCGTGAAAGAACACGACTGGAAGGGCAAGTGGAGTTGTGACGCAGATGCCGCTCTGCAACTCTGCTTGCTGTGCCAGGGCCGTGGACGACATCGTAGAGACCGGCAAACTTCCAGAGGCACAAGGCGTCATTTGGGGCTTTGGATTCTCAGATGCTTGCTGTGATTCTGTTTGCAATTCCGCTAACCTTATAGCAACCGCCGCACCGACATTCATTGGGTCGGACTTGAAAACCTTGAGGCTTTCGCTTCAACATCTCTCCAAATGGCTTCTAGCCCAGCCATGTATCCCAGAAGCCAAACAGATCACCGCAAATGCTGTGACGACGAGACAATGCGGCTCTTGCGGCAGCGGTTCACTGGAGTGGCTCGGAACACGCAACAAACCACGCTAGGCCGCCAGTTCTAGAAAAACTGTTCGAAGTGTTCCAAGGGCTGAAGCTCGCTCTGAGCCAGGCGTGGACATCGAGAAATCCACGGGAAGCAAGGCTGCAAGCAAGGCCTCTTGCCTCGGAGAGGAGGGTGGTGCAGAGTTACATAGCTTTGCGCGCAGATGCTCGAAGTGCATCCGTGTGGTTGATGTCTGGAGGCCACTGTATCATCTCAGGAAGGGCGCGACGGTCCAAGACGAATTTCACGTCACGACCGTGTGACAAAAAGGGCGAATCCGGTCACCAGGCCGAGAGCGAGCTGATCGGGGCCAGCGGGGCCAGCGATCAGAGCCGGGACCTGAGTAAAATTTGAGTCGTGTGGAGCAGCCAGCGCTACGACCTCAGCACTGAATTTGAAGAATCTCCTGGCGGGCTTGGACGACCAGCTAATAGCACTCTGTCTGAGCCAGACGACAACAAGTACAACACCTTCGAGACTTGTGAAGGTGCGGAGGCAAGATTCCACTAAGGTGGCACAGGACGGTTTTTGCTGCTCAGCAATTCAGATTAACCAGGAAGTCTCATGCGAGGTTTGCGAGGCTCGAGCAGTTCTTGTAGTTTCAGTTCCAGGCGAGAGCCGAGCATGCTGTCCGCAAAATGGATGCAAAGTGATAGCTTCAGGGCAGCAAGAAGCTGGAGGAAGGAGGACAGACAAAATCCAGGTGACAGTGCAAGCAGCAAGGTTGAAGGAGCATCGATCAAGTTTTGCCTTAGCACGAAAGCTGTGAGCGAAAAGGTTGGACGGGTTGGATTTTCTTCCGTGGAAGGATGCAGCTCCTAGAATCCTAGAAGGCTAGGATTTGCAGACTTTTCATGGTTCCGAAGTAGGCCTCAGTCTTGGAACTGCCGCGTGGCCAAGTGTGGAAAGGAGGGTTGAGCTTCCCGAACTGCAGGTGAAAGCTGAAGATGGACATTTTCTGATGGAAAAATCACGCTGTGCTTGCTTTCGAAAGTGTACCGCATCATCTTGCTGACATGGTGGCAAGCAAAGCGTGGTGCATGTGCTTAAGCGATCAGTTTCTGCCCTGCCGCTCTGTCAATGATGGCCCAAAGCCACTTCGCCCAATTCCTCTTCTGAGTATGTCATCAAGTTCCCTAACATTGCAATGCAAGGCCAGTACCCCGATTCTAATGTCAGCGTAGGGTCACTGGCTCGCTTGGGGCCGACGTCGAACATTTTTTTTCGGTAGGATTCTCGCCATGTCTGCCGAAGCAGCCATGGAGCAGCAGCCCCCTGGTTGCAGGGATGGCACACAAGCAATCCTCCAGTTTTCGAGACTGCGCTTCGGTCTGTTGACCTGCATCTTGTCGGTCCGAACCAGAGGAATCGTATTATGTGCGCACGTGCATTGATGCTGCATCACTGCAGCTCCCGGTTTCACTCATCCGAGGTTAATGCGCTCGGAGGACTGGGCGCACATGCAACCGTTGCGAGGGATTGGGACTGCACCATGGGCATGGAAGGACATTATGAGGAAAGTCGCGCCAGGCCAATCCTGGGTGAGTCGGTGCACGAACGACATGCGGTACGGCTTTGGTTTTCGCCGCCTTGCGAGGTTTGGCGGCTGCATTGGGGAAGCACGGAGTGCCACCCGATCCTTGCAGCGCTTGCCCTGCATTCACCTCCGCCTTGGGCCCACCCGCTCCCACCCCAGACGCTCATCCAGCTGTAGTGCGCCCAAACTACGGCCACGCTGCAAACAAAATTCCTGACGTCGGACAACGACGGCGCGAGCCGAAGGCCAGATTTCCTGCTGCTTAGAGCAGGGCGCGCGGAAGCAGCAGTCCATGATTAATCCGTGGTGTCCAAGGAGGTGAAATTCAGAACTAGCAGCACTCGGTTGCAGGGTTGAGCCATCCGCAGCGTCAAGCCGTGGTCGTTCGGATCGGTCGGCACTTCCAAGTGATGTGGGAAGTTGGCCTCTCCTGTCAGCGATGTAGCATGCTCTATGCCATTCTGCTGGCTTCTTTGATGATGTCTTCGCAATGCCTAGTGACTTGAAGGATGCCGGACCAGCTGCTCGTTTCTATGGCACTACCCCACAGCCAGGCCGGGGCTTTCTGTTTCTTGTTAACGCTGCCGTCATTGCAAAACCAGGGAGCACTTACTCGCTACCGCCGTGGACCTACATCGGTCTCATTCGGTCACGGGTCTGGTGCCGCAAGAATGAGCACCAACTGTTCCATCAGGGTGCTGCAGCAAGCTGGAGCTTTCGCACAAGAGCCGCGAGGGCATTTCAACGGGCTCACAGGCCAGGGTCGCTGACTGTCTTGCTGTGGATGGCGAGACAAGAAACCCTAGTACCCTAGCGGCGGTGCAACACGGAAGGCTTCGTGCCAGTCAATCAGCCTTGGCCGCGAATGCAACTGCAAGGCTCAGCCTCTCAAGTTCCGTGCAGCCAGCATTTGCGACATGTCGTTTATCAAGGCCCTGCCTTGCCGCATTTTGCGGCACAAGCCTGTCCGAGATTGCATCAAGGCTGAAAGACTTCGAATGGCTCAAGCTGTGACGTCTTGATTGACATGCTTGACAACTGCTCCTTCTGCAGAGGTTCTGCAACACAAGATGTCGCCCTTCCTTGGCCGCGGATGCCACGACCAGGCAGCAGGAAACAGTCAGGATGCGGTTGCTTTCATGAGCAGCTGTATTCATCTGTCTGTCTGTCTGTCTGTCTGTCTGTCTGTCTGTCTGTCTGTCTGTCTGTCCGCTTGTCTTTCTTTCTGTCAGTTCGTTTGGTTTCGTCATCGCACTCTCTGCCTTTCCTCCCCTGTCCTTCCCAATCTATCTCTCAGCACCTCCCAAGGCGTGCTAGAAGAATGCGTGAAGGTGCGGTGGGACCTCTTCGTGTCCACGCTAGGTGTTCCCCCAGGTTCAAAAAACAAAGGCTCTGATACCATCATGAGCCAAATCACCGATGCTTTCAATACCGTGCTCTACGAAAAGCGGGAGGTCCAGTCGCGGACAGTGGAGCCAGGCAGTTCTGAGAGCACTAGAAAATAGACTTGATGCCGTCCATCGGAGGAACTGGCAACATGACCCCACCCTGCCAACCCAATGCTTTTTCAGAATCCATCAGTCCCGAACTCCAGACGCCGCGTTCTGTACGCTGTGCGAAGTCATGGGAAGCCGAGACCGGCCGAGCCCTTTCAGTGTCCGTGGCCTTGAAGGCCTGGCACTTGGCCCAGAGCCCTGGCCACCAGGCCTGGGCACTGGGAAGGTCTCGGGGGTCTTAGAGAGATTCCACTTCTCCATCAGTGCTGCCTGGGTGTGTGTAAAGAAGAAGCATGCACTCAGTTCATGTCCGATGGCTGCGAAGTGATGTCAGTGACTTGACATGCCACATACAGTGACAACAGCTGACTATCACTTTTATGTACATGCACAAGTCACCAGACACTATGTAAAGCTTTTGGCACAGAAGCCTTTAAGCACCAGGTCAACACAGCCGATGTTGCGGAAAAGTCTGTCCAATTCGAAGCAGCAGGATTGCCATGGTTTCCTGATTGAAATAGGCTGCAACCACAGGGTAGCTGTGGAAAGCTACTTTTGTAGGTCTCGAGCATAGATCTGGGCAAGCTTGATCAAGAGTCTTTCTATGACTCTAGATTCTGAGGAGGGGGTGGTCTGCTGTAGATCAGGGCCCACAGACCATGGACATAGGCAGTGTTAGTGTCTAAGTATGTCTCACTGTGACAAGCCTGGCTGCGCCCACGATGGAGGGACAAACGTGACATCTCATTTGTAACATGCCCACTGCGAAGGCTGTGCTCTACCGACTTTGCACCCAGGCTTCGGCATTTCATGCTGCTGCAAAAGTGTGTTCTCATGACTCTCTGCAGGCGTTCCCGTTGTCGGCCATCACATGCTGCCGAAAGTCCAAGCTCCTCAAGGCCAGGCAGTTTGCAAGCTGACTGCCCTTTTGAGCTGCAGAGCAGCACAACGTGTGGCCAGGAGTGCCGGTGCCACATCCACCAGGTCACAAGCGCGGCTGTCGCTCAGGCTTTGGGTGAATAGTCCGATGCCGTCAGGTCACACTGCAGCTTCGATGGACGCAGAACTTCCGGAATCTGGGCAGCAAGGTCGGGTGCCGACTGTTTAAGCCCAAGTCGCTGGCTTCTCAGAGATGCCATGCGAGGTTTAGGAGTCCAAGTTGGCCCACTACCGGACTTGCAGCCTCAAGGCCCGGCAGGCCTGAAGTCTGCATGTTGTTTGCAGTGGCCCGCTACTGGAACCGGGAACCGAGGCCTCAGTGCGTCAGACCAGGGCTGCAAGGCCTCAGCTCAATGCCAGTGGCATTGTGAGATTTAGCCGCAGAAAGGCTTCTGTCACAAAGTTCAGGCCAAGAGCTCCCTGAGCACACCCCCGCCACCGAGGTGAACTTGGCTGCAGCAAAAACATGTGGTTCGGTCCTGGAAGACCGGTTCCGTGACTGCAGGCCCTCGGCTGCTTGTCCGGTGAATGCCCAGGACCTTGAGGCCGGCCCAGCAAGGTCCGAGTCCAGCCTCACGTATCATCGAATGAGAGCGGCGGCCCTGAAGGCCTTCCTGGCCAGCAAGGCCGCCATGGCCTCCGCAGGCAGCGGGAAACCGGATCCGTCGTTACAGCTGAGCGCACTTTTTTTCGGCATGTGCGAGTGGCGCAGCGCGCAGTGGCCAGGCGAAGATGCCCAGGCCGTCGACGGGACTCCCCCCTTCCTTTCCTTTCCATGAGTCGTACAAGTACAGTGCTGCCATGTGCTGCCATCAGCTATTGCAGCCGTGGGCCTTGCAGCCTCGCCGGCCCCCCGGCTGCTGTGCCGCTGTGCCGCTGCAGGCCTCGGAAGAGACGAAGACGCCGTCAAGCGAGAACGACAACAGTGGCCAGACTACAGAACGGGGGGGCGTGGCTGTAGGACTGTAGGACTAGCTGACACTCACAGCCTCCTGGCTGCAAGGTGGTCGATTGCTGCTGATGCTTTTGAAGGCCGCCGCTTAACTTTCCTGCAGCCGTGGCTTGTGTCCTTGCGGCAGGGCAGCAGAGGTGAAGGAACAGGACCTCCGGTGAAGTTTGGAGACCCGCTTTGGTAGGGCTGGTTGTGCTAACACGATGCCCGACAAGTTTGTTTCGGCACAGGTTGAGAGATGAGGGTTGGCCCTTCGATGCCAGAAGAATCCAGAGCGCCGATTAGCAATACGAGGGATGGTCCACAAGCCCTTCAAAATCGAGAGACAAAGAATTCTTTTCTACTACTCTGCTGCGGGAAAGGCTGCCAGTCACTAGAACACAGGAAAAGGAAGGTTTTTGAGAGGAGATCGCAGGGCATAGGGTTGCAACCGTTAAGACTGGAGAGGACGGCATGCCGCTAGCTGCTTTAGATGCAAACGCACTCCTTTCGCTCGAGGAGCCTTGCCCGAAGTGAACGACGAGCGCTGGCACAAGTCCCGCTGGGAGTTGAAGCCTTAGCGAATCTTAGCGACAAGTGCGGCGAAGTGAGTGCCTTGCGCCCACCAAAGACACTACCAGGCCATTGCTGCAACCTTTTGCCGACTCCAGTGACCCAAAGGCACGTGCCGTCGACTCGATTTGCAGATTCAGAGTTCCGGCTCCGCCCACGCGAGTGAACCGGCTCATGCCTCATGCTCCACGTTTTGTTGCATCGCAGCGCTTCATCTCTGCGGAGCACTTTGCCCCTGGACGGGGACTCTGTGCAGCGTGCCCAGACCGTGAGAATCTGGCAAACGAGCGGAGTCAGCAGAGCCAATTATTTTAGCTCCGGGCATTTGTGTCGAGGTGTCGGGATCTGGTGCCTTGCCATGTGTGCTACAGGCCGCTCTGCTGACGCGGATGTTTGAAGTTCCGGTGAGTTCAGCATGTTCATATCGAGCGCAGGATTTGCCGCGTTCTGATCTGCTGGTCCGGGGCCCAGATCGTAAAACATGCTTGCAGGGTCATGACTTGCATGGGAGTGCCTGCAATGACGCAGCTGTGGCAGGTGATGTACAAACCATCCGGTTGGGCCACATGTTCAACGCCGCAGTGGGAAGGGGTGCGCTTGCGAAACGACGTTCTGAGCGAGCTGCAGAACACAATAGCCACCAGCAGCAACGTGTTGTGTGCAATTGCAAAAAAGGTACACGGCAATTTGATCCGCTATGTCTGGAAAAAGCAGGGCGCTTATTTCGGACCACGGACCGTGCCAGTATGGGCTGGTATGAGCCTGCGACATGAGCTGCAGGCACGCCCATGGCTATCGGCTCAGTGAGTTTCCGCATGGCCGCACGGCATCGAGGGTGAATGGACGTGCACATCGAGTGTCCCCAAGGCCCAGTGGCCGCTCCATGCCATCGGCTGGATAGGGGGACGAGTGGGATCGTGATCGTGGCCAAGTTCGGATCCCAAGTCTCTTCGATGTCGTCATCTCGTCAGCATCGAAGACACGGTCTGAAAACTGCGAGGTCTCGCACCGCCAGCGGCTCAAGCTTGATCTGCGATTCTGGCAATTACCATAAGTCTTGCACTTCCTTGTAATATCCCGGCACCATGCTTGTGCCCTTTGTCAATTCATTTCTCAACTGAGCTTTGATGGTTCGCTTCGCTGCGTGTGAAGTAGTCTCCGAGAGGCTTTGCGACACGTATGCTTGCAGATATCGAGCCGCTCATTGGTGGTGGCCCCGTTTCATCCAAAACTTGAAATGTGACGTGTCACTGTGAAGAGCAAACGTAGCGGCAGCGTCTTCGCAATGTGACTTTGAGGTCAAGCAGTACAT